ATACAATATTTCCCTATTAACTTCAGTCATTATCATGCAAATATCACAATTAATTTGCTGTAGTCTTGGAAAAAAAGGTTTCTATATTCGTCCTATAATAGCTAGAATCATCTAACCATAGTGGAATAGAGTGAATGCGAATGATGTCAAAGTTTTTAGTACTCTATCGTACGAAACTAGAATAGTAATTGAAAAGTGCTTAAGTTTTATTAATTGTATTTTATAAGAATATGACCAAAGCTAGAAAAAAGAGAAGTCGACCATGGAAATGAATCTATCTAAACTTTCGTTCACATGATCCTAATAGCATGATTATATTTTTCTGATGAGAATAATTCGTTTTGACAATTCTCGATCATTCAAGAGTGATCATGAAATTTTGCAAAAACTGGAATAACTGATTATTCAAACTTTCTTTTCGGGTCCAAAAAAGATGGATTCTGATTCAACTTATTTTGTGATTTTATAAAGATTTTGTATGATTAAAACTTGGCTTGCAATAAACATTCGGAGCAGACGTAGAAGAGATATTGAAGTTCATTTTTATGAATTAAACACTTATTCAGTATCTTTGGTTAGCTTATTCTGAGGTGTTATAGTTGACGATTCAGATGAATTAAGAATCGAATCAGATTTTCGTCGATTTATACTTTCAATGTTCTTTAAAGTTTTTACCTTGAAATAAATAGTCGGAATACAAGTGGGTCGAGTGATCGTACTGTATTATATGACTCAGCTTTATTTTAGCACTAAATCAAGATAGGTGTGAAGAGTATTATGACGAATTATTGCCACTGTTATTCCTTTTCAAAAAAGACTCCAAAAAGTCAGATCGATATACCGTTGTTAAAAGAAACATGCTTTACCTGCATGTAAATTTCTATAAAGAGTGTGGGTGAAGAGAAAATCTATATGGAATAGTTACTGATAATCTTTCACTCTGAATTCATCTTTCATATCTAAATTACATCTTAATAATATACAAGGCATTGATATTTTGTCGAACAAAATGGTCTGATGAATGATACAAAATAAATTGAGAGAGGAGGCAATGAAGATCAAAACTCATCCACTCATGCGTTCTCAAATATAAGCATTAGAAAAATATTTAAGGAGAAGCTTTTTATTTAGTTTATGCTTGATTAATTACAGAAACGAAAACCATAAGTAGATTAATTTAGAATGCCTCAAATTTATCCTCTCTTTCTGGAATACTAATAGAGAGATGATCTATTGATATTTCACGTTGAAATTCTTGTTTCCAAATGTTATTCGTTCTGTCGCACTCTCTTTTCATTTTGTTATCTTCAATGATCGGTCACGGAGCATGAAGAATAGTGTAACCAACAAGGCGAAGATAATCAGCTGTATAATTCAATGGTTCTTGCATATATGTGCATGCCACATGATGTCTATCTAGAAGCGTGTAAATAAATGCTTGGCCCAACATTATTCTATTTCAAAATAGAATTTTTACCGCATATGTCGGTGGTAGAAATTCATTGCTACGTTTCAGTGGATATTTTGCTGCCATATATAAAAATCGTTCATATGATTTTTTTTTAAAGTTTCATAGCATCAGTTCCAAGATCAATATCAAAGGTAAAGATCTCATTGTTGTAATGAACACCACTTCTTTGTAGTGAATTACATATAAATCTTTTACACAAATCGAGCCAACAACCATCAAAAATAATTTCAGCTGCAGAAAATGAAAAAGGATTTTCATAATGTGTTGATGGATTAGATGAAAATTCGAAAAATGTTTGATTCCAATAGGAATAAGAAGCTTGAGAGTAATTTAATAAATTATTTTTATCAGATATTGTATTGCAATAGTTATTATTCGATGATAGTTGACAATACTTTTCACCGAATCGTTCTTCGTAAAACTGACATATTTCTATAAATGCTTTGTCTTTTAAAAATTGTTGAATATTTTCAATTGATAACGAGTGATCGACGACATGATGAAACAAATGAAGACAATCATTTCGATACATTTTTAGTCAAAGTAAATGGGTTTGCCATACGATTGCAATATCAAGAGCAGGAATGAACAATACATTTGGCAATTTGAAAATTGGATACTTTTTTCAACATTGATATAAGTTGATGCGCTGTTTTGTCTATATCGACTGACAATCTGATCATTCTAAAATAGCGAAAGAACAATTAAGATTATATCAAAGAGAATAGTACCCTTTATTGAATATAAAACAGAATTGATTTTGGCATTTTATTTTATTATCGACACCGATCTAATCTAGTTAAAGTAGTTCAAAGACAAATGGCTCGTATGCTATAGAATCATATGCCTTTGGGTTTGCTATCAAATATCTACGTACCTATTTGTTATATAATACAAGAATTTTTTATGCTAAGTCACTAGCATCAAATTGATTACGAGAAATATTCTCTAACATTAGTTTATTGTTTAGGAAGTTTTAATAAGATTTTGATAGAATGTTTTGAATTGAATCAGACTAATTACTGATTGGATTGGACTTTCTCCAGAAAACAGTGTTCAACTTATGAGAGATCAAACTTTCTTAAATATATCTTTAAGATAAAAGTAAGAACCTTTTCATGCGAAATTCTAATCTGAACTTTCCAGATTCATTGTTCCAGTATTAGGATGCCGGAATTTCCGACGAATTTCTGCCTTCAAGTTTCTAATAATTTCCTGAGTTTTTCGACCGAAAGCGGCTCGTATTTCTTTACCTGACCTATGAAATATTCTATTCGTGCCACTTAAATCTCCTTTTTTTCTATTCTCGTTGACTTGTCATCGAACTTTCTCGATTTCAGCTACGTATGATCAGTCATGTAGGTGTCCAGGATATGATAATGATAATTCGTATTTATGCTATTTTTTCCATGGATTGTTCAAATTTTGTTACCAAATAACACACACTGCAGAGTTTTGTAGTTTCTTATCTAATAATGTTGTTTTACAGGAGATGTTTTAGCTAGCATGTTTTATCATTACATGGACGCCTAAAAACCACTTATGTCATCCGAAATTTATGGAAAGTCAAGCAAAAACTTTTTAGTGTGCTTTTATATTTTACTATAATTGATGGTTGATTTCGTTCGATGTTGATATACTGACACATGTTCTTGATTCAAAAAACCAAAAGCACAATTAACTTCATATGAACAATATCGGTTCAAATGAAATAAAAAACTTACTCCCATTGCTGATAATCAAATTCGTCTTTTGGCTTTCTCAGAAAACATTTTTTCTATATTAAATAAAAGTAATTTTAAAGTCAATATACAATCAATAGAAAAAGAATACTTTAGACTATGTTAAAACTCTATATACTGGAAAAAGAACATATCAAAAACTCTGGGCCGAACAAGGCAACGAAGGAAAATCTCTAATCGTAGATTTTACAAAAAAGCGATGAACCTTACTATTGTACATACAGACTATTATCGTTAAATATCAAACAGCTTGAAGAAGTTCTGTTTGCTTTTTTTGCAGAAACGAACGCACAAGACAACTGTTCAATGATGTTCTGTATTGGAAAGACTGTCTGAAATTCCAGTGAGGTTTGTTTTATTCTTTTCTGGATTGCATGGATTTTAGGCTAAAGTGTGAGTCAAAACAAAAATGTTATTTAGTAAAATTGTCAGTAATAAAAATCCTCATAATTGGAATTTCTTTTCTCTATCAAGTGTTCATAGATCTCATATGGTGAATGTAACATGTACGAACAGAAAAAAAAATGAATCATCTTACATATCTCCTGATGAATTTGGGTGTCATCTGAAACCACCAAAAGATTTGAGCGGATGTATGAATATTTGTTTCTATCATACATACTGTTGTGGTACAAAAAATTCCGACTATTAATAATTGTTTTAATTCTTCATTTCGTAAATATTTCTTGTAGATCGAGTTCATATACAATTGTTTGAATGGTTTTGAATATAACATTGTTGAGTCTATTGTATATTTTCAAAAGAATTATCGTAGAAATATATAGAACGAAAAGAAAGAATTCTTACAATTGTATTTTGATTTCCAAATCTCATCTTGATCTGTGACCATTTTGAACAATCGACAAACTAATGATACATTGCATAGGTCAGGAACAGAAAGTAATTGAAATATGTGTAAGAGAATTTCGATAGAAATACGTTTGAACAGAGATTCACATAATGCATTCTGCGTTTTATGGACTAATCATGAATGTTTCCATGTGACATGAGGTGGACCGATTTGGCTCTTAGATAAGGAAACACATATGGCTTCACTTTGCATCTTTTTTTTTGCCAAAACACCGTTTGAACATGTAATCTAGAGAGTATAAATAACAAATTTATGCAAGGTAAATCGCACACTAAAATTCCGATGAATATGTTTACCCATGCGCATCAATTAAATTCTAAATGCCTCTCAAGAAATTTCTTTCATCATTGTGTTTATAGTTCGAATATAGTTTTTGTTAAAATGCTCAAGATAAACTGATCTGAGCCGTGTCAGTTAATCTAGTTAGTATTTGAATCAGTTTCATTCCTAACATACCTTCTGATGG